AAAAAAAAAAAAAGAAAAACCAAACAAACACAAAACTCAAAAAAAATCCCCAAATAAAACATTTTTCATTTATGTAGACTAAGAAAAAAATGGGAACATGCTATATGGTCTAGTAAGTCATAATCTTTATTTTTTTTTGTTTTCCCTTGGCAGGGGAGAGAGCTAGGGATTTTTTTCATGTTGTATAGACAGGTTTTTGTCTCGCTGAGAGATGGAAAGGGCCTTAAGACCACTGCAATACAAATTTAACCAGTCAAACTCAGTTTGCTGATATTTCCTGTGTGCGTGTGTGTGTGTGTGTTCTGTATACTTTTTACAGCAGCTCTAGAGGCCTTTACTCTGTCAACATCCAGTGCTCATTCTGCAAACATTAGTGGCATTTTAAGAGGTGTTCATATCTTCTTTATCTTTAGTTACCTTTTGATGGTGTTGGTTTTCATTAAAGTTAGAATCATGATTGTTACCACATATATTTAAAATACAACATTGCACACCATGATCTGTTTTTGTTTTGTCTTGCAGAGAAAATGGTATGACACTGAAAATGAGTATTACCTGCTTCTGTTTACCCTGTCTATTCGTTGCCTCTTCTACACTAGTTTCAGCCTAGAATATTGTTGGCATGGATCTACCCAGAAATCATCCCATTCATTCCTGTGGATGCTGGCATATGTGTTTTATTATCCTGTGTTCCACAATGGACCCCTTATGAACTTCGATGAGTTTAGTAAGCAGGTAACAGTATTTTTAAGGCCATGAAGATGATAATTTTCAGTGCATCTGTGCTTGACTGATGTTTGTCTAAGAACTGTTGAGCTGCCAAAACTATGTATGGAACATATAGTGCATTAGAAGTGAGAGGAAGGATAGATATTTTTGTTTTTACAAAATTTGAGAGAACATTAATTGGGAGAAAGTTTTAAATAGACAAGTAAACTTTGTCATCTACCCTTTTTTGTATATATTCATCTTTGCTGTCTACTCACATGCTGAAGTTTGCTGTGTGAAAAAAGGAGGGCTGTACTTGGAAACTGGTTTTATGTGTCCATGTTTATATCAGCTATAGAGTAACATTGCATTCACATAGGACTGGTAATTAATTGAGAGTGTATATTTAGTCAATTAAAGAAAAATGTCAAAATTACCTTTTTGTCTAGTGTTCGGGTGACTTCAAACTGAAAGCAGCTTATTGGTTACTTGGGTCCTTTCTTCAGACTCCTGAAAGCGGAGCTTTCAATAGCACTTGTCCCTCTAAATGCAAACGGCTCCTCTCTCTTACTGGATTGTTTTTATTTTTTTTTATTTTTTTTATTTTTTGCCCTTCACAAGCCCCTCTTTCATGTCTCAAAGACTGCAGGGGGAGAAAAATTAAATGCTTTATCTATTGCTTTCCTTATTTTTTTTGCGCAATTTGGTATAAAATATTTGAGGTTTATGGCTAGCCCTAATGGAATAAAGGCTTATTTGGATGCTATGGAGTTACCTTATCAATGTCAGGTACTTTCAGCAGCGGGGCTGTGCTTTTGTAAGAGCTACTGAAATTGTGTTCTTGTAGCTAAGTCAGCTTGGAGGGATCAGCTCTGCTTTCTTCCTGCTGCAGTGGAGAACATCAAATTTCTTCACTAGAGTGCAAACTTTTTTGATTTATACAAGTGAAATAGAAGAGGCAAGGTATGTCCCTAAATAGACACTGAAATTTTGAGTCTGACTAATGCATTTGCATGCTCATTTTCCTTTAGGTTTACTAGTAGGCAGGTGTCCAAGTCTGTGTAGCTTTGAATATCTCAGCATGAGCTCTTAAATGAGCCTGCAGGCTGTAGAATAGGAACCAGAGGTGCCGAGATGCTTATTGAGATGACTGACAGAGGTGTTGTATGAATAAAGGGGGCAGAGTCAAGTGACCTTTCTTCACTTGAAAGAAATTTGTTTTCTAAAAGTGCTTGCTGCCAGTGGGATGTCATTAAGGGAGATGAGTCAAATAAGCAAAGCCATCTGGAAGGCTGACAGAATTGTGCAATAAGCCATCTTCCAGGCTTTGCTGAGAATGAGCCAGTCATCTGTGCATCTTTAAACCTGTTTCAGACAAAGAACATAACTGAAGGAAATGGGGATAAAAAATGTGAAAATGAATAAGACTTTATATTGACTAGCATGTAAACTGAGGAAACCATATAGTACTATTTATAGTTATAACATGTATTAAATTCTACCTATATTCCTATATCTCTGATGGAGAGAGATGAGCTTCTCAGTTGCGTAAGAGCTGGAGTAGAAAACGGACTAGAGACACTTGGTAGGAAAAATTGTGTGTAGGATCTCAAAATAAAACAATTATCTGGCATTTTGATTATCTGAATATGGCACATCTTCGCCTATAAATGCAGTCTGTATTCTTGGTGTGAGACAATGTGCAGGGATGACTAACAAAGACGGATGGGGTGCGTATGTCTAAAATGTTCTCATTTAAATATGCCTAGATCTATTCAACTGAATGTCATAAAGCAAACACCATGAAGAAACTAGTCAATAGCATTATTTAATATATTTTTCTTTAAGTGCATTTTTCAGAGTTATTGCATGAGAGTAAGGTAACTGCCTTGGCAGCTGAGGATAGAGAAGGAATGGTTTCTACGACAGCTGCTTTCAGCAGTATGCCCAAAGTGTACAGCACAAGTGTATTTATTGCAGAAGAAGGAGAACTGCAGGGCCATTAAACTGAAGCTGGGACTGAGAAGAGTGTTGATTTTCTGCACTCTGGAGAGCAGAGTTACAGAAAATGGAAACCAGAAAAATGTTCAAAGAGCTTAATATCATACCAAAGAGCTTAAAACCATAGTGCTGGCTGTATGATTTTTTTTTTCTCTGCAGAAATGAAAAAAATGACATTTCATTAAGTTTTTGGGTAGAAGTGGTGCATAGAGGTCCTCATCAAAATTTTGACTCCTGTTGTGAAGATAGTTAAAATTAAATGCTAGTCTGCAAAAAAGTCTTCTAGATAGGACAAATTTGCCTACAAAGTCTTCAAGTGAATAGTGCAAATGAAGAGTGCTAATGGCATTCTAGCTCTCCTACAAGTATATCAACTTTTGTTCCTGCAGATGGGTGGGTTTGCTAATTTTTATGTGTCTTTGCTGGCCAATTGAAATCTGGCCCCTGCTTCATAGGTTTTTCACCTATCTTTGGTTTTACATGTGAAACCTTTATCTTTAAGTTTGATCTGAGTGAGTAGAAGTACAAACGCAAGTAGGAGTTTTGGCATGCCGTAAGAGATGCACGTAGAAATTGCTAGATATCTAGGCAAAAAAAACCTCTTGCCTCTACATTAAGCTGCTTGGTTATATTTTACTTTCTTCACAGAGAGAATGTTAAGAAAGGTATGCAAATTTGTTTGCATAGTGGGCAGCATAAGAATTTGAGGTGCATCTTGAAAAACTAATCGGGTGTAAATCTTTTATCTGTATGTCTTTGTTTGTTTTTCTTCCAGTTGGACTTAACTGGCATTTGTTGAACACATCATATAGGTTTCACTGACCTTGGCAGTTCTCCAGGCCGGGAGGAAGACCTGTTTTACTGTTTTCAAGTAGTAATCCAATGCAGCTGGTACAAGTTTGAGATGTTTTAAGAACAAGTGTTTTTTTTACCCTGGGTAGATAGGTAGGTTGGTAGGACTGCTGCTTGGAAATGGTTTTCTCCTTCACAGCTATAGTTTCTTTCAAGTTTTTTTCATTATCTATAGATGTTGAGACACTCATGACTTTAATTCCTGTACTTTATCATGTCTGGATTCTATCAAGGTTAATAGCACTTGTCCTTTTCTACAACAGATTGGTTCTGCAGGACTTGAGAATGATTAATGATCAGCGCTCCCTGGTCCTCTATCCTCAGGCCTGAGATGTTACTTTGGTGCATAGCTTGCCTTGCATGGTCACTGGGACTTTACCACTTTCTTCAGAGGAACTTGATGGCCTGTTTTGACTTTTCTGTCTGCTCTATAGGCTGCTTGGACAGTTTGAACAAGTATCCTTCCAGATATTGCAGCAGAGTTGCTACTTCTCTTTAAGGGTTCCCAAAACATTTGGGATGTTTGTGAGTGTGTGCAAAGGAAGGACAGGGCCTTTTCTTGCATGAGATGTCACAGCCTATGTACTACAGCTGGAGGAAAGGGCTTCAGCTGCTGTGAAGTACTCTTGTTTGAGGAGTGTCCGATGAGTGTGTGAACAAGGACATACATCAAACTGTATAAAATGCTGCATGTCATCTGTGATGTCAAGCACAATAAGGCTTTTGGAGTCCTCAGTTACTGAAACACTCCGCCTGTATTTTGTGCTCGTGACGCAGAATTTGATAGCTCACTAAAACAGATTCGGTCCTATTTTTTTAAAGGGGCCGTGTTTGTAAACTCTAGTATTTTTTAACTTTATTTCAGAGTTCATTGCAAGCAGCTGAATTGCTCTCGCTGGACTTTGTTCTAAAATCTTTTTTAGGAGAGAATGTCTGATTGGCTTTTAGTACAAAACTTGTTCAAGTAAGATGTTAGCAGCCTTCTTTCTTGTTTCTTTTCATTCATGTATAAGCATAGCTCTTGAATTAGCTCTTCCACACTAGCTAAGCCTAGCTCTTGACAACAGTTTGCTAACCCAAAGCAATTCTCAAACACATAACCCCAAAAGTCAGTCTTGTCTGATGATTTTTTGTTATTTTATAATATTATTGCTCATTCAAGGCTTTTTAATTATAGGAGGTTTTTATAAGGGTCTGAAGGGAAAGGAATTTGTCTGAAAACTAGTGACTTGCCAGGAAGAGTTTTTTTGCTGAGCTAGCCGGCTTTCAGTTTGTTCTTAGCATAATTTCTGTGGTGTTGGGAATGTCATGAAAACCTACGAAAGAATAATAGCTACATGGAGAAAATGTGCAATAGCTACATGTTTTGCTTCTAAGCCTCCTATGCAGATAGATAGGCAGTTACATACTACTACTTTTATAGATAATTAATCATGGAATCATTAAGGTTGGAAAGGACATGTAAAACACTGGGCAATGTGCACTAGCTGAGCAGAGCATAGACCCTTTGGCACGTGAAAAGTGTGAGGTATGAATATTCAAGGTCCTCAGCACAGGGGTGCTGAGCATGGAAACTATACCTTTCTGGTGGATACCACTGTGTTATCACTGGATTGGCTGCACTGATAATTAGCAGTTGAAGGAGAATGAAATGCAGTCTGGAAGTATGGAAAAGAGCTTCAACAACTCCTAGTGGAACTTACTGGTTGTAAATAACACATCTGGTCTTGTGGTATTGACTGGAGACTTATGTTTTGGTTCTGGTTACCACTCAGTTTTCTACTTCTTGCTGGTTTCTCCTTCTTTCCCAATTTCAGAAAGTAGAAGCTGGACTCTATTGTAAAATAGAGTATGTCAAGAATTTTGAAACGTTGTAGTCAAAATTTCTTCTTGATAGTAATAAATAACATGAAATGAAAAATCTTCTCAAGATGATTGAGAAAATCAGTTCATCATTTATGTATCATATAACCTTTTTTGATTTCTTCTAGATGAGGAGGCAAGAAGCCTTCAGTTTGAAGACAAATCTTGGAATTTTAATCATGGGCATGATTCGCATCTTCTTTTGGTGGTTGCTGGCTGAGTTGATGATTCACCTCATGTATATCCATGCAATCTACAGTACTTCTCCACCTTTGGAAACTGTGTCATACTGGGCTTTAGGTTAGTATATTAAAAAAAAAAAAACCTCTCTCTCTACTGCCTGCAGAATCTCAAATCTGCTTTTTTTTTTTTTTTTTTTTTTTTTTTTTAAATCATACATTATGACTCTTCAGTACCAAAAACATGACTTAGGCTACTAAGGAAGCATCCTAAAGGACTTACAGGCATACAGATAACCTTATTGAACTGGAGAGGTCAATTCTGCATTGTACTCCAAAATTTAAAAATCCTCTGCATCCCTGTGTGTGGTTCCTCTCTCATCCCCACCCATCTGAAAGGGCATTTCTAATTCTTACTTTTTTTTTTCCTACTATTGAGCTGATCGTTTAAAACAAAGTGTGTTTAGCCTAGGAATGGAGGCAGGGAAACATTCAGATTTAAACCATTTCTTCTGTGCTTGATGGTTTTTAACCCTTCTCCAGCTCTTACTCATTTTTTATCCATGTTGAAACTTGAAGGCAGCACTCACTAAAAGAGCCAGTGGAGGGCAGTTTATGTGCAAGCAAGGTGACCTGAAAGTGCTAATTGTTATCTTTCCTCTTTCTGTTTTTCTCTTCTTTCCTCCTCACCTTGTATTTGGTTTACATTCTTTGTGGTGGCTAAGAAGATGAATGAGTATCCATTAATACAACATGAAATGGTAAGAGCTGCACATACCACTGGGTAGATAGATATGTGATAACCTGGAAGCCCCAGGTTGGTGTGACTTTGCCTTGTCCTGCCGCATGTATCAGTCAGTAGGGGGGAAGATGGCAGAACCCCAACCCTTAAGATCAGATTCTGAGAAAGCTTTGGTTACTGAATTGAAGCAGACACCACTTATTAGATCAGCAAGTAACAAGAACTGATACAAACACTGACAGAGTCTGTCCAGCATTCCTTAAAGATTATTTATAGATGATAGGGAGTGCATGTCCTGAAAGGGGACCTTTGCACACTGAGCTCAGGCCAGTAGAGGGCAGTACTACACACACACACACACACACACACACACACACACACACGTGTGTGTGTATGTGAATATACATATGTGTGTGTATATATACACATATATGTGTGTGTATATATGTACATGTAGACACACATATACATGCACACAAAGAGCCTGGGTGAGCTCCTCTGCTGAAGATAACCGAAGCTTAGTGGCTTGCCTCTATGGCTTGTTCCTCTCATCTGCTGTCAGTCACTTGTTTTGAAAACTGATTCTGAGTTTGCATTTCCTTTTCTAAATATGAATTCTCTGATAAATAGGTTAACTCCTGGTACTGTGTGCATCTGTATCACAAAAACTTTATTTGGTATATGGAACGTAGTAGACGCTACAGTTGCTGAGGCAAGTTTCTTGTTGCCTAAGGATGTTTACTGTTGTAAACCTGTGTTTACAACAACACCTGATACTATGTTGTATCATCTTTTCTGCACAGCTGGTGTTCATTTTATTTCCTATATAACTTAAAGAAGCTTCAAAGTAGCACGGATCGATTGGTTATAAGCAGGTGATGCATGGCTGCCCCTTTAGAGCCTTAAATGTAAGGGGAGCAATGGGAGATCATATTGCAATCAACTCTAGTTCTCTGAGAAAAATTTTACTTCTTGTGTGTTTTCTTCTGGGATGTCTTTGAATAACATGCAGCAATTTTCATCAGTGCAGAAAAAAACAACAAAGCTGTTAGATTTTGCTTAAGGAATCTTAAGTGCAATTAAGTTCCCCTCTGAAGAACATGAAACAGTGTTTTGGATGACTTATATGCAGTGTTCCTGAAAGGTGAGATTGTAAACAAAAATCATACTGAATTATGATTTTTGCTTAAAAAATGTCAAGGCAGTATTTTCTTTTTGTACCACAGCTATTCTATTAAGAACTTATAATTCTAGTAAACTTACCTGGCTACAAATGGCGGTACAGAAATGCTGGTTAGCTAAAATGACATTAGTGAGTGCATGTTTTTCTTTATCATGCATATATAGGTTAAAGGAAAAAAGGATTTATTTTTGAAAGTGAAAGGCAACAAAATTTGTCACCAAGCAGGAAATATGTTCACACAATATACAGAAGGTAAGATGAGCACTGATCCAATCTGTTGCAAGAGCACTTTTTTTTTTTCCGTTTAAAGGAGATTATTTGGTTTCTTCTTGTGTGGAATTGCTCATGTGGTGCAAAATAATAAGGCCAGATGAGAGAAAAGGTGTATCGAGAAACTGAAATCATTGATGTTGGGAGGGACCTCTGGAGATGACGTAGTCCAGTGCCCTGCTCAAAGCTGGTCAGACTATATCAGATTGCACAAGACCTTGTCCAGTTGAGTTTTAAACATAACCAAGGATGGAGACTCTACAACCAGAAAAAAATGACTTCTCTAGGCTTGTTGGGTCTATTCTTACTGAGGCAGCCCAGAATACTACTGTTATTTTTGACTCATATTCGACTTCTTATCAACTAAGACCCAAATCCTTTTCTGCAGAACTGCTTTCTGGCCAGACAGGCCCCAGGCTGTACTGTTACTGGGATTATTCCATCCTAGATGGAAGACTTCGCGTTCGCCCTTGGTTCTTTCAGTCCGTTTCTCCTGCTTGACAAGGTCCCTCCAAACAGAAGTGCAGCCTTTCAGCATACACATTTCTCCCTGCAGTTACTTGATGTCATCTGCAAACTTGCTGAGCATGCAAACTGTTCCATCGTCCCGGTTGCTAATGGAGATGCTAAACAATATTGGTCTCAACAGTGATCCCTGAGGGACAGCAGTAATTAGTGGCTGGGGCTAATCTGGTCCCAGCCAAGTTCCTTCCCACATTATCATCCAATTATACAGCCCATATCTTATGAATTTGTTGTACCTCCTCCAATAGTCTGTTTGCAAAACATTCTGCATATTTATACAACTTACAGACAACAAATGTATTTGATACCTGCTGTCCCACCTGTGTCTTAGCAACCAATCACCTTGTATAGAAAGGAGTGAAATTGTTCAGGCATCGTTTTCCCCTGGTAAACCCCTTTTACAATTCCTCACCACTTTCTGGTCCTTAATGTGTTTAGAAATAGCTTCTAGAGCACTTTTTGGATAACCTGCTCAAAACTAAAGAGAGTCTGACCAATCCCATTTATTGGATAGATTAAGACTTTCTCTTGAATAAACAATAATATTGCCTGATGGGCAAGTTAACACTGACACTGCTGCTTTGCATGAATTCTGCTGCTATGGCAGAAATATGATGGGGAAACATTAGGTACTGTTCCCAGCAGGGGATAGGGAACTGGCAAGTTCTGTGGAGGCAAAGTCGTCTTCCTTCACTAAAAATTGCAATACCACCAAACTTGCTAAAACACTGATGCCTTTGTAAAACTGCTCTTGCTGGCTGTGTGAAGAGCAGATACTTCTATGGATCTCTCACTTGGAGGTTTTGGAACAATCACCTCAAGGATGACTGATGACTATAGCAGTCACCTGTGCGTCCCCTAAGGATATAAAGGATGAAGTCTACTACTGCCAAGTTGAGCAGGGCTCAGGAATGACACCTGAGCAACTCCTCTGCCTTCACTATGAGTATCCTTCTCCTCACCTGGGACCTGGGCTAGGGTAGCTCCCTGCAAGGTTGAGAGGTCCCTGGTCACTCAGGTTGAGGAAGTGCTATAGTGTTTTATTGGGACAAGCAGTGCACCCCATTTAGTTGTGCTAATTACTAGTTGCTGTTTGCTAATTGATAAACTGATCCCTACAGCAATTGCAGCAGTTAATGGTGGATGCTATTATCACAAATACCTTCTCTGGTGAATAAAATCAACCAACTAAAGCCCAGTGGTTGTTGCCCCTCTGGGTTATTTTACTGTCTCCTTTAATGAGCTAACATGACATTGCCACACAAACTTTGAGTTGTTATTATACTATAGATGGAATAGCTGCTGTAATTAGAATCTCTGTGAAATCTCTTTAATTACTGTTACTTGCAGTTTGTATTTGCAACTGTCAATTTTCAAGGTCATTAACTGCATGATAATAGTGTTGGGAATTGTGAGTAGAAGGAGAAAGACAGTGTGCCGGTATTTCATATCAAGGTTGAACTTTCAATTCCCTTCTTACTTGCCCTTGTTTTCCTGGATTATTCCTCTTCCTGCATTGTTTAATTGATTCCTATCAGCCGCTAAAATGTGTCACAGAGCAGAAAAAGCAGCTTGCTTTGCTATCCTTGTGGGTCAGTGAGCTGTGGAAGTACACGATGAGCAACCTTCTCTGAGATGGAGCAGGCTGCATCCACCATGAATCAGTTCTTTAAGGAGTAAAGAAAGCAAGTGTCTCTTGCTCTGAATTTTTGGACCTGGGGGGGTGGGGTTAAATAAAAAGTGGCTGTAGCCCTAATTAGAGGCTATTCCAAAGGGCAGCACCTTTCTATAATTATTCTTCATAGTATTATCATTATTATGACTAGTATTATTATTTAGAAGATCTCTAGTAAAAGAAAACGGACATTCATTATTTAGGCTCTTCAGCAAGACAATACAAAATCTATTGTTGTTGAATAATTCATTTTATCTTTTTGAATATTTATTTTTAGATGAGTTTGTCTTTGATTATAGAAGAAAGCTGACCTGAGGTTGTATGCATCTCTATCACTGACTTAAAATATAATAGAAAATTGGCATGGATCTCTTTTCCCAGGATAATCAGTCTCTTGCTTGATAATGCTACTTTCACATAGAAATATATCAGAATTTCCTCTATTCTATATTCCTTGTCATATTTAAATTATTTCCTTTAATATTCTCTGCGTAGTGCTTTAGACTTGTGTGCCTGTAGCACAGCAAGGCTGGTCTATGTGGGTCACAGCGCACGAAGAACTGAGCTCTCCTGAGGAGCTCTTCATGAGCGAGCATGCTGGCAGAGAGTCGCTTTCTTTGATGCCAGAAGGTAACAGCCTAGGTGCGTTTGATTATCTTCACCCCAGCCAGAAAAGAGCAGTGTTAGAGATGGTAAAGCTTATCCTGTTTTTATAGTAGCCTTTTCAAATGACCATTCCCGTCTAAAGCGGCTAAGATGCTTTTGGCAGCATGACTACACCCCTACACAGGCTACAAGATGCTACTACTGGAGAATAGGTGCAGTATGTATGAACAAGAATGCTGCATCTGCTGGTCTGAGGAGCTTCAGATGGACCACAGCCATGTTTGCTAGCAAGATGAGTATCACTCTCAGTAGAAATATCTCTCTGCTGGATGGAGGAGGAGGTGACAGCTCCTCTCTCCAAGAATCCCCAGGGCATAATGAGGACCCAACAGCATGAGAGTAAATGTCGCTTGTAGCCTGGACAGCAGCACTATGCTCTGAATTGCTTATTCCTCAAAACCTTCCATCCTGCCACCCTTCTGTCCAAGGCAGATTATAGCAAAATATTTAAACTCATCATAGAAAGCTATTGTGAACAATATCACAATATCAGCACAATATCACAATATCAGAAATTGTGAACAATATCACAATATCAGCACAGTTGTGCTCATTTGATTCTGAGCATGTAATTTGTAGCAATTCCATGCATTTGTGTTGGTGCTGGTGCTTGTTCTCAGAGGTCAGTCAGATTGTCTTAGAGAATTGAGTACTTTGAGAATTAACGACATAGCACGGTCTTGTCTTCCATGACATTGAAAACCATGATAATTAATTCTTCTCACTTTTTAAAAAACATTTATTTTTATTTATTGTTTTTGCAGTTTACATTGCAAACAGAAGAATTGCAAGTAATGAAGACAGAAGTCACTATTGATTCTAAAAATCCACTCTCCTGGTGAACTGCAACATGCTCTATAAAGCCCAGACCTGATCAAAAGCCCGTTATGTGCTCTGGTGACTGTTCTCAGGCAGTTGTCTGTAATAAAGCTGCAGAAAGGAAGTTGAGAGGCGGTAGGGATTGGGGGAAAAAGGTAGGCAGGGCTGTGAACCCTTTCTGGGGCAGGTTTTTCAGGCTTCCATAACTGGGTAACTAATTCCCTGGTTTATGTAAATAACAGGCAGCTCAGTAGCATTAGTTGCAGGAGCTTAAATTGAAATCTCCAGTTTTCTTCCTCACCATGACAACACACAAATGTCAATAGTAAAATGCTCTCTAGCAAGGAGAAAATTAGTTTTTCTGTGGGAACAGGAATGTATGTGGAATGTCACAAACTTATCTGTGTGATTATTTTTGAATCTGATTCTGAAAATGGAGAGGCTGAAGAGCACTGTCCCTGTTTTCCCTATGTGGCTTCAAATTTAGCCTTGTGATTCAACAGTTAAGCACTGTTTACTCATCTCTGCTGATGCAAATGAAGCTTGCTGTCAGTCTCACGAGGTGTAGAAAATGATGAAAGCTCCAATTGTGAATGGAGAAGACTGCAGAATGCAGACACAACTTTTATGTTGTCTTATGTTAGACAATATATTGTGTAATATGATTGTCACATGAGATTAATCCAGAATATTAAAGTAGTAATTATGAAAATAAACATGACTAGGAATTTGTATATTTGTGTTTTGTGTCAGAGGTACACATTAGCTGTGGAGATGTGTGCTTATATGGCTCAGCAGTGTGAGCAGTCTGTGGGTTTGATGTATTGGTCTTAACCATGTGCCACTTGTCCTTCCTAATAAAGCATGCACGATTTACAGGTTTAATTAAGTATCATAGCTTTAATTATTAACTAGGTCCCAGTGTTCCAAAAGAATATATTTTTGACGTATGTACTGTTTGCTTAAAAATGATTTAAAAGGCTATGATCTGTCCAAAGGTAAAGCCACCCTGCTTGTTCTGCAGTTGTATTTCATGGTTTGATTTGTTAAAAGGGGAAACGTTGCATAAATTCCTCCTTCGAAGAGTGAAGCATACGGAACAGGAGAGCTACTTTGATTGTATTGTAGTTCTTCTGATAAATCCATGAATTGAAAATAGATTTCTGAGCTTGTTCTTAAGAAGCGCTCAGTGTTTTGCTTTTGAAATTATCATGTCTGTGCATCCATCTAAATGGTAATGAATTGCTAACAGAGTAATCTGTTTGAGGTTTTTTTCCATTCTGCAAGATAATGATAAGGAAAATGTAATAAAATATTTGGCATGTTGATGTCAGTTTTGAAAACTGGAAATACAAACACGAATCGGGAAGTTTAATGAGATTTTTCTTCTCTAAAACATTGGGTTTCCTGCTTCTAAGGGAGATATGAGAAAGATTTGACTTGTTCATAAGCTGTCCTAGAGGCTGAACTTTCAGATACCACTGACAGTTAACCTAGTTTAATGAGTACTTTTTAATTTGGGATAATTGTTGATCTACTTAGAGCTCTGTCTCACAAATATTTACCAGCGAATTTAGTGTGTGCAGTGGAATTTCTGGAATAAATCTGGAATTTAATGACCACTTACCTGGCAGTTTGCTCTTTCATGCAGCTCTAAATCTCTATATTTGAGTGAATTTGCACGTAAATTTTAACTCTTTCCCCTAACTCCTCCTCCCCGCAATGGGAGATGACACATATAAAGATTGGGTCCTATAAAGATTGTAAGAGAAATTGAGAGTATTGATATCAATAGCCAATTAATTTGATCTAGGGTTTCAGGAAGATGGCTATTGAATTGCTTGGGGGTTAAGATATTATGAGTACTTCAGCTCAATTTATTGTTGTTGTTTTAAAACCCTTTAAAACCTTAACCTTGTCTCTGAATCCCTCAAATTCATTTTTTTCTATGAAAACTCATTTTTGCAGTATTTTTTTTCTGTAAGTATATTTTTAATGTATGCTTCATATAGCCTCCCAGCTTTATTTTCAATGTAAGGTGATATGTTTGTCCAGATTTCCTTTTTTTTAAGCTGTATAAATGTAATGCTACAAGAAGAAATTTTATGATGCTGATAAAGAATTTAAGAAATGTAACATCAGTTTTAAATAACTTATTTTTATTTTAATTTTATATCACATAAAACAGTGTAGTCCTTGCTGCTTTGTGCTCTGATGGAGCAAATAAAAAGCAGCTGGAGTGTTTCAGGTATGCAAAGCAGGTTTATAGCCTTTCTGTGTTGCCAGTTCACAGCAGCTGTTTTGCAGCTGTGACTCTTGCTCGGAGCCTTCTGGTGGGTGGCCCCAGCTCCCTTACACAGCTGGGATGGGTTGAAGAGCAATTAGAAGGTCATGCATGTGTCGACGGGGACATTCACGTTCCTGACTCTGCAAAAAATAAAATTGCCACATACCTGGCACACACTGGCTAATCTGTAATGCTCAGCCATGTGATGGCCGTGTTTAAGATACTGACAATATTGAGCTGGTTGCTCATTAATAACTTAGACTTCTGTTAGTTAGTAGAGATGGTGAAAACGTTTTTTCTTGAATCTTCCATGTTAAAACTTCATATCAGGAAAAAACATAAAACATTCCATCTTTAAAGTGAAATATATTATTTTGTCTCATGAGAGTGGTAGTTGCAATCCCTATTTCCATCACATGTGACCAAATGATTTGGAATTTTACCGCTGCATAGACAGCTGCGGTCTCCATAAGCTGTTTGTGTGGGTGTAGCATTCAGCTCTCCACTAAAATGTCAGAGAGGAGATGGGAACTGAATGAGATGGGAATTAAAGTAGAAAGTTGGCTCTGTAGTTGATTTACCCATAATCTAATGTGTAGCTAATTGGCGAGCATCCAAACTGTGTTTTTGATTGCTTGTTTTCTCTGGGGAAAAATCGTTGCATGCTAGATGACTGCATCCCAGTAGGATGTACTCATAAGCTTCATGTGTAGGTATCAATTTTTATCTTTTATAGCACAGTGAATTCTTATATCTTCAATCTGTCTGGTGATACTAAAATGAAAAATGTTGGGTTGCAGCAGCGGAATCCTGGCCATGTGGAGTTAGCAGCAGTTTTGCACTTTATGTTGCCAGTGTCAGAACTTCAGCCTAGGTTGTTAAATGCTAGATTTAACTTTTAACCTTTAAGAAGATTTAACATTTAACTTTTGGTTGTCATCTGTGATATACCCATCAGTCAACAGAATCCAAAAGGAGGCATTGTGAAAGAGGAAAAAGAAAAAAAAGGAAAAAAAAATAAAAGAAAAAAAAATGTGTACACACATACACGCACATATCTTGTCAGGTAGAGCTTCGGAGTACCTGAACTTCAGTTATTGTGAGGTCTAAATTTAGTTACACTCGCATGAAAACAGCTCTGTTAGCACAGACAGTATGTGGTTTTTTGTTTGTTTTTTTTTAATCTCATACCTGTGTGAATTGCCTATTTTTGCTCTGTTTTGGACTTAAATCACGAGGAAACACAGAGCCAAAATGTCTCTTGGAAATCGAGCAGGTAAAGCACTTGAAGGAGGCCTTTCTCCTGCAGGTTTAAAGTTCAAACTTGTTTTTAAATGTTAAGCAGAGTGAAATGGCAGTCTTCTGTGCCCTAGGTGGGTCAGGAGGGATCATGGTGAGAGGTAAACTGCTCCAGGGCGCACAATCTGAGACTGTGGGCTCTTTGTGGAGCTGTCAGGATAAGCTGCGAAGATAACCATTGAAGATAACCCCTTCTGGGGGATGAAGTAAAGAATGCATGTAATAGTGCTGTACGTGCCACGTATTGACCTTTTTCTTTTGCAAATATGAAAATTTGTTGTCCCTATAGTAAATACTCACCTTGTATATCAACGTATTATGACTTTTTTTAAGGTCAATGAAAGTCAATATTTGCTTTTCGTAGTAGTCACTACCTACAGTCCAAGTGGAGCTTTGGAAAGTGAAACTCCAGATCCTTACTTATGCCTCTGTCTTAGAAATATGCCAGTATTTTTTATGTGACATACAGTCAGAACTGTACTTGTTCCCATATATATCCCATCAAGCAAGGATGTCATCTTTAGCTCCTTGGACAATGAATAAAAGAAAGCATTATTAACAGTTTTTAAGGTATTTCAGGAGTTGTTTAAGATAACTTGTTTTGCCTTTTTTATAGGTGGCCTGGCTTTAGCTCAAGTACAGTTTTTTTATGTGAAGTACCTGGTTTTGTACGGTGTTCCTGGCCTCCTCCTCCGAATGGATGGTCTGAAACCTCCCGCTCTTCCTTGCTGTGTAAGCAGGATGCACAGTTTCACTAAAATGTGGAGGTCAGTCACTACTTTTTAAACAATTTATTACTGATATATGACAGTGAATGTAAAAGAATGACTGTGTGTTTTCATGCTTGCTTCTATGTTCTTGTGCTTTTTGTCTAAAACTCTTCCTAGCCTTGATTCAACACTCTATTTTCTAAATTAATTTTATTTTGTCCATACTTTCTTAATGCTGCAGGTGTAGAGGGAAGCCTTCCTTGCAGTATTTTTCATCCTCTTAATTATTAGATTTAGACTCGGCTCAGTTAGCTTCACTAACCTGGCAATTATTTTTTCAGGATACTTTATTAAAGTTGATTCATTTTTCAGTCTTGGTCTAGAAAGCACATTTCCCCTGGATATTCATCCAGAGAAGAAATGCTTGATTAGTTACTCTGAGGAAAGCATATAGCACTTTAATATGCAGTCATGCAGTAAAGAAAATCTTTAACAGGATAAAGATACTCTGAAAAGTGCTAATTGTTTATAATTCAAGATGATGCTTAATATCCCCTTTGTTTTTTATTTCATGTTACGTCAGGAAGAAAAAGTCAGTTTTGACTTTTAAATCAATAACTACAAGTAATCAGTAATGCTAAATCACTCTTACTAAAGAGGATGGGACGAGGCTCTTCAGTGGTGACCAGTGACAGAATGGGAAGTCAGAGGCACAAACAGAAACCCAGGGAGCTCTGTCTGAATATGAGGAAGAGCTTGTGTACTGTGAGGGCGACTGTGCACTGGAGCAGGTTGCCCAGGGAGGTTGTGGAGTCTCCGTGCTTGGAATTACTCAAAAGCCATGTGAACTCCGTCCTGGACACAGTGCTCTTCCCTGCTTGAGGATTGATTAGATCTTGACATGGGCCTTTTAGCCTCAGCCATTCTGTGAGTCTGAATGAGAGAGCGATAAGGATGTTAAAGTAAGGTTAAAAATAGGTGTTTCTGTCAATGTTTGATTTGGGAAGTTTGTCTTAAATTCCCAAATAGCCAATGCCTGGTGCAAACAAATGCAAACATAACTGCTTAATTGAGCTGTGCTGCAGTCATATATTTAGGAAGACATCCTTGTTTCTGAGTTCAGATGTAGATGTGTTCTTAAGTTGAAGTGCTTGCACTGCAGTAAGCTTTTGTGGAAGTCTCTAGTGTGGTGGATTTTTTTCTTTGTTTTGTTTTAAATATTCTGGTGCTCTTTTACTATAGTGCTGCTGGATAATTTAACTGATGATCTGAAATCTGAGCTAGCAGAATTTCTACCTAAATTTTTCCTTCCTGTGAATTTAGTTCTCTGCTTATATGCTAGTAATAAAAGTATATTACTATCTTGTAATCTGTCATTTGAGGATAATTGCAGAGGAAAAAGGAAGGGCACTGAATAAAGCATCATTCACTCCTCATAGCAGATATCCTCAAATGAGGTGACAAATCCTTGTGTGGTTTTCAGGAGGGAAATGGAGACAGGTAGTGAGAAGGAGCTCCACATCTTCCCAACGGCATGGAGAGGCAGTTGGAGTCTGACAGATACGACTGGTGCCTCCAGAGATCTGTGCCTGGGATCTGCTCCCAGTGAAGCTCCCACTGAGCTCAGTGTGGAGGGCAGTGAAAGGGCAGTGGCCGCTTCCCCGGCCCACAGCAGGAGCAGCGTTGCTGGGGTTCCCTGCCTGCCCTAGGGAAGGGATGCGCAGCGGGCAGCAGGTAGCCTGGGCAAAGTCTGCTGCTGAGGACAGAATCTCTGTTTAACTCCTGCAAATGGCCCAGCAGTCAGCTTCCAGGAGATCAGGAGTTTTGAGGTGATTTGGTTTTTTTCTTCTTCAATTCTGGACAACTGTTTTTCTTAAGTTCTGTAATCCTTGCCCTCTGATGGGATTTAGTGAGCAGCTGGAAGTGAGGGACAAGAAAAGGAAAGACAGACTCAAGCAGCTCCCTTTTCTGTTGGGATTAGGAGTGTAATTTCTGGCCTGTGTCCAGCACCTTTGATTTTCGAAGAAACGGTCATTGTATGTGTTGTAGACACTGCATTAGGCAAAACAAAAACGTTTCCAGCAATCTGGTTCCTTACTGTCTTTCAGTTTAAGAAATGTTAGCCTCACGGCATTTCTGATTTTTTTTAAAGCACCTTATCCTTGTCCCTTATTTTTAGGCACGTCTTAAATATAGAGAAGGATTATTTAAAAAACATAGCTGGATTAAATGGAATTACACCAGTACACCAGCAGCGTTGAAATGTCTTATGGCTTGTGATTAAGGAGAAATTGTTCTGAAACTTATGAATAGAAGAAATAGTTATCTCAAAGGTTTGTGGAAGCCCAAATACCTCAGTGCCTATGAGCAATGTTAAGCCTTCCTTTGCAAACATTAATGCACTGAATTCAATAAGCTCTATTTTGTGTCTCGTCTGACTGGTACACTGAATCGAATCCCAAATCAATAGTAAGAATAACATGCATAGGAACAGTTTTACCAAGGAAAGCTTGTATTTGCACATATGTGGAGAGTGTGCTTTACAAAGCAGAAAGGTTTTGCTTTTCTTTCTTTACATAACACATGAGATTTTTTACATCGTTGACAATGACTATAGAGGTCATATGCATGTCCACATATTTCCATTATGTTTTTAGCAAACTGGAGGAAAATATCAGTTATAAGGCATCCATTCCACTAGAATAATTCTTTAATAGGTGACCTAATGCAGTATTGCAGTGTCTAACTGAATTTCATAATTTTGTGTTGTTTATATTAGATTTTAGGCTTCTATATTTTAGATTTTAAAGCAAATAGTAATCATTTAAAATATTTAATGTAAAGCTGATAGAACTTTTCCTTAGTTTCTAATTTTTTCATATTCTTTAAGTTTTGAGCATAGATTTTTTTTTTTTAACTCAAGGAAATACAGGTGAAATTTAGATACCATTTATCAACAGTAAGCAGCAGTGAAGTCAGCCTTTCAATGAATATTTATGGCACATAGAATTACAGATATATAGTACCGTAGGTATGATGATTTTGATTTTTTTTTTTGTGTGTGTGTGTGCATGCTCTGTTGGCAAAGGGAGGTCAGTGAGCAGGCTGGAAAAGGAGAACCATGAAGCTGCTAGTAAAATCGTTCAATGATATGGTGCTTGCAGACGTGCTGAATAAGAAGGTAAACATTATCAGGCTGACTGGTGTTTTCAGTCCCCTTACAGATATAAGGGAATGAAGACACTGGACAAAATTTTGGCATTGCTGAAGTCATTGTCAAAGCCCCGATTGAATTAAGTGATGTCAGGATTTTTCCTGACCATCTGTTATGACTATATTGAAACAGATTTTTTTGACTTTAGCACATAAGTTTCATAATTTAAGGAGGCTTCAGAAAGTGCAAAATGTTAAGCAAATGCTTGAGAGGACCATTAGTAAGGATAAGGCTTAGCTTTCACTTCCTGAAAGAATAACTAGACACTAAAGAAATAGTCTGTAAAGCAGTTAGCCTAGTTATTGCTACAAGTAGTTTGGTAGTGACATATCTTTATCTAAGTGGCTGCTAATTAGGGAGATTGACACAGAATATTTACTCAACTAGGAGGCTATTAAAGCTCCCAAATATCTAATCTAAACAGACACTATGTGGCTGAGGTGAAGAATTATCTGAAGAAAAGGTCTGCTTGTGCAGGGAAGGAAAACCAGATTGGTCTAGATTCACAGATTCACAGAATATTTAAGGTTGGAAGGGACCTCTACAGATCATCTAGTCCAACCTTCCTGCTCAAGCAGGCACACCTAGAGCATGTGGCACAGGGTGGCATCCAGGCGGGTTTTGAAGACCTCCAGAGTAGGAGACTCCACAACCTCCCTGGGCAGCCTGTTCCACTGCTCTGTCACCCTCACAGTAAAGAAGTTGCTCCTCACCTGGAGACGGAACTTCTTGTGCTTCAGCTTGTGGCCATTACCCCTCGTCCTATCGCTGGCCACCAGTGAGAACAGCCTGTCCCCTTCCTCCCTGCATTCTCCCTTCCTGAACTTATACATATTAATCATATCCCCTCTGAGCCGTCTCTTCTCCAGAGAAAACAGGCCCAGCTCACTCAGCCTCTCTTCATATGAGAGATTTTCCATTCCCTTAATCATCCTGGTTGCTCTTCTCTGGACCCTCTCGAGAAACTCCACGTCCCTCTTACACTGGGGTGCCCAGAACTGCACACAGTACTCCACGTGCGGCCTCACCAGAGCTGAGTAGAGGGGCAGAATCACCTCCCTTGACCTGCTGGCAACATCCTCCTGATGCAGGCCAGGATCCCATTGGCCTTCTTGGCCACGAGGGCACACTGCTCACTCATGGTTAACTTAGTGTCAACCAAGACTCCCAGATCCCTCTCCGTGGAGCTGCTTTCCAGCAGGTCGACCCCTAATCTGTACTGATGCCTGGGGTTATTCCTSCCCAGGTGCAGGACCCTGCACTTGTCCTTATTGAACCTCATGAGGTTCCTCTCTGCCCAACTCTCCAGCCTGTCCAGGTCCCTCTGGATGGCAGCACAGCCCTCCGGAGTGTCGGCCACTCCACCCAGCTTGGTGTCATCTGTAAACTTGCTCAGGGTGCATTCCGTGCCCTCGTCCAGGTCATTGATGAACAAGTTGAACAGCACTGGGCCTAGCACTGACCCCTAGGATTATTGTCTAGGACAATAGTCATATGTAACAACACATTTCTTTTGTGAGACGGGAAACAAAGAAGGTAGAATCTGTCATTAGCTTGGGAAAATTCAGCTTTGGTTAAACAGCTAAGTTTGTGGGGCAATTTACTTGAATTACCAGTGTCATTAGCTTAATGTGACTCTTCACATGAATATATTAATATTCTTTAATATTAATTAATGTTAATATTCTTTGCCTATTGTTGTACTTTTTTCCCCCCAATTCTGATGCGCACTTGCTGAATCTTATTGGGCATGAAGGTGTGCAATGCAATATAAATATAACCCTTTAGCATTAGACCTCATTGCTAGTATCAAAATACTTAAGCTGCTAGTCCAAATGTTGGGTGTTTGATAGTGGAATAACTTGTTTCTAAATAGAAAAAGAGCATTTTCCCCCCTAATTTACTACTATATTATTCATTAGCAGTTATCTTGTTTAAAGCCAAGCATTGCTTTATGATGTGCTGTTTGCAGCTAGCATGTCATCTCAATATATGAAAGACATTTTTGTTCTGGACTGGTTAGTAATTCTTTCACTGATATAGATGGCAGAGTTAACTGCTTTTGACATCAGCTAAATTAGTGCGTGCTACAGTTCTTTCCTAGTATACAGCTCAATTTGCTGGTTATATTAAAGCTTTAAAAGGCTCCTTAAATCTCAGAGTAGAGAAAAATCTATTTTTTTTCTCTTCAGAAAGTAAAATGAAGCAATAATGAGCCTCCTAATCCTTCTCAGCTCTAAATTGCATAATTGCTGGGAATTTTTGTGTGGAGACTGCTTTGTTACTATCATTAAAGTCCAGCAATTTGAAATGAACAAATCAAGCACTTCTCTATATAAGGAATTTTTAAAGACCACCTACTACTTATTATCATCTGTGATGTCCATTCTTTTCAGCATTTGATGTTAGTTCTGCATTTTTACAGACTATTATCACTGCTGCTCCAGTGTCTTACAGTTGGCAAACAGTGCTTGGAAAAAGATTAATAACTATTAATAAACTTTATTGTTGCATTTGCAGTAAGCATAGGGATCTCTCATAGTAATTGGACAAACATGCTGTATTGTAATACTCTTCCTAAAAGGAAACTAAAGGAAAACTTCCCCCGTGGGAGTTTGCCGCAAATATTATGGGTGTTAGGTTCCATCTGCTCTCCATGAGATACTAGAGCTTTTTTAAGAACCAGGGAAGTTTTAAAATTAAAGTAATAATTCTTCTGAGTTGTTCTAAGAGAGATTAGCAGAATATAATTGAGGTTGGTTCTTGTTAAAAAGGTGTCTGCAGAACTACATCACCAAGATCCACTGTGAGGCACGCATGTGAAACCAAAATTAATCTGCAGGCCTGAGTCTCCTGTGTTGCCAGCCATCTGTACAGTCTTGCACTAGCTGTAGCAATGACTGAGACCTATTCAAAGCTATGCTTGCATCTCCCTGGCCTGGAGAGTGCTGAAAGATCTCTATCTAAAATCATTAAAGCCTTCACCTGGTTCTCTACTATCATACGGATGAACATCGGAGTGTCTTTGTCGAAATAAACAACAAATTAGATCAGGGATTTGTAGGCTGGAGGACACTTGTAGCTTATGAAGCTACAATTCTGCAAAGGAACTTCCTGATTGTGGCCATTTTATTGTAGGTGACTTTTGCTGTTTAGTTCTCCAGCCTGAGCTCTCAGTTAATGTCCTAAATTCCGCAGATGAAACCTCGGGGCTGCCCTATTGATATTTTCTACTCAGAGGTGAATGTGTCTGTAGCAAAATGCATGTGCATTTCTGAGCTCCATCCTACAGCACACAGGCTGTAAAAAATCAGGCTGAGCAACTATATTCCTGCTGAAATCAAGAAGAGTTTTGATACTGATTTGAGTTGGTCAACACTTCCCACCTTTCCTACCACCTTCATAGGCATAGAAGCCAAACAAAAAGCCATCCTTCGAAGCCTGAGATTTAGGCTCAAGCTTGCTCTTTGATCTTGGTGTCTAAAAAACATTGAAATTGCTTTATCATGTATTTTCTCACCTGGCTGAGCCAGACTTTGTTGGATTTTGTTCATTGTATGTAGGAGGGTAATGACTGAGATGTTTTGCTTTGGAGTAGGTACCCCTTCAACATAAAAGAAATCCAATGTTTACCTAAGAAGCTGTCTATGCCTATTTGTTTCCAATTCCTTAACTATGTTGGTGGATTAAATCCTTAAAATATATATGTGGGCGAAATTTACCATAACCTGACTGTAATTCAACTGCAATTTATTTTCTAGAACCATTTATCTTTCATTATTCTAAGTTGTGCATGTGCTTTAAGAGTATGCTTCCTGCCTTTGTGGCAGCTGTATTATTTCTAATTAAGTGTGGTGTTAGTCACTGAAGAGAGGAGTTTTGCCATGGAGGTGTAGGAAATAACCCGGCAGTAAACAGGAACTCTAAATCTATGCAAGTGATAGGCAAGCATTGCTGTCTTTTGAAAATATGGATGGCTTACCCAGGTCTGTCTTTTATGGTGATGATGCAGCTGATATTACTCACTACTTGGTAAATGTTTATTCCACCACGCAGCATAACTCCTCTAGTGGTTGCTTGGGCAATGTTTTATAATTCATTAATCAAAACATTAAACAATAGACCTTAGCAAACTGCATATCCAGGTTTTATATTCATTTTCCGTGTAGTCATGTTATTTTTCAGACAAGACTCTAAAGCATGTTTCAGAATTCTGTGGTGCATCTATATTTGTATTTTGGAAGCCTTCACTATTCCCTGCTTAAGCAGGGAGGTTGAACTAGATGGTCTCCAGAGGTACCTTCCAATCTCAACCCTTCTGTGATTTGGAGATTGTCAAGTAGGGAGGTTGCCACAGGCAATGTTGGAAGAAAGAGCAGCAGATAAAGGCAGGGAGAGTAGCTGAGAACTGCTAAGTGACGGAGTGTCTAGTGAGGGAATCATGTCTTGTTTATACAGAGTTTTGGCTGTTGCTGATGTCAGGCTTTCCCTCAGGAAGAGGGACAGTGAAGCACCTTAAGACCTTAAGCAGTTGTTCGTGAGAGCAACTCTCATTCCATAGCTCTGCAGTCCCCAGCGCCAAGTGTTCTGCTGCACCAAGGCTCTTAGCAACTTGCCACCACAATGACTGTTATTTACAAAGACTGTTAACAGAAGAGCTGTTTTTGCAAATGTTGTTCTTTAAGAAGCAGAACAGGTACCTCTGAGGGTAAGTGGTTAAGTTAGACTTCCTAAAATGAGGTATAGCCACACAGGAAGGGTTTGAGAACCATGGTTAAAACAGTTCAACAAGTATAGCACTACTCTTAAGTAATGCTTAATGGTCACTCTGGTAATGAGTGACCAGAAGGATGTAGTGAATCTTGATGCTGTGATGAACTGTCCACCCAGATCCTTCATTGTGCAGGTATGGCCGAGAGAGTCTGCTGCCCCGCTCTTGTCTGTGTGCTGCACAGCCAACAGTCAAGCTGTGCCTTAGCTGCAGCAGAAGGAGCTTGTATGTCCCCGATAGAGCTAGCACAGAGAAAAAAGTGATCTCTTTCTTGCTTGCCGTTTCTCTTACCACATCTCAGAAGGAAACATTTGTGAAATCCACTTTTTATAATGTTCTATGTATCTGATTGCATCATGTAAAGGATTAAAGGAATCCTTTGTATTTTAGCGCAGTATGGAGCAGGGAAAGAAAAGAAAGAGTAGCTTGGCATAATTTTTCTGTCTGCAAGACAGGAAATATGCAGATCCGCTGGTCATGGAGATAACTAAAATAATTCGTTCATTAATAAAATATATAAACTTCTATCTGTCCTTTCAGTGAATTATATTACTCTGAATGTTATAGCTTTATTGAAGTTAGCTTTTCTTTATGCTTCATTTAGATATGAAAATCTGAACCTGGAAGGAACCTGGAAGAGGTTTCTTTTAAGTGCATTTAAATTGTTCTGTATGATAGCATCTTAAATTTGATGTATGTCATTGTATAAGCAAAATTATACATTGCTTTTTCTTTAGTGGCTGCTAGTAATTTCCTAATTACTGTATATTATTGGTTAGTTTGAAATACTGTCTTTGTATAATATCCTATATGACAGAACTTTCTCGTAATTGAATTTGATTCATTTTTTCTTCTTACAGATGTTTTGATGTTGGGCTACATCGTTTTCTGGTCAGGTAAGCTAATGATTATTTTAAATTGCAGTCAATGTTATAGAGCATTTCTGTTGGTGCTAGTAGAGATGGTAATGTCATGTGCACTAAGTAGTGCTTGATTCTTTCTATGGCAAAATCCCTTTTGCTTTTCATTTTACACATTACTTGGAGGAACATTAGCTGGGCTGGATGTTTACCTCGATAAACTCTTAAAGAACCTCTTTAGGAATCATTTAGAGAAAACCTGATGCAGGAAAATTCATCAGAAGTATTTGAGTTGTTTTTGAGGAAATATGTTTATATATTATGTCAAGAGCATATCTGGAGGGGAAGAAATACTGGGTAGTCTGAACTGGTACTGAGCATCATGCTTTTTTAGTTTAAGTGAAACACAAAATTATTCTGAGATCACACAAATTCCATCTGACTTAAGGTTACTTATCCTCACACCTTATAACCTTTGAGCAGTGGAGTTGGCAATCTTGAGGTAGTTTTACATTTTCTTTGTATGTAATATAACTATTTAGCAGACAGCTCTATATACATCTATATTTAGACCATTGGATAAAAGATTTTTATTTATTGTATAAGAATTTGCTAAAGTATGCTACTGCTGTAAAGGGAAAAATATGCACAATAAAATCTCTGAAAATAAGAAGAATTTGTTAACCAAGAATAAAATCATAGGAACTGTTGATATATCAAATATGAGCCACTGGTTATGCATTAATCCAGAAGAATGTGTGCTCATTACTTCATATGAAGACTATAATTGTATACTGTGGTATTTTACATCACGGGAAGATTGCAGTAGTCATATGCAAATACCCACTGAGTTGAATGGTCTCTTTTTTTGACTAATATGCCATCATTTCAGAGTCCATTGTGGTTCCTGTGCAATAGTATGTTCTAATCGTAGATTTTAATAATACTTCATTTTTAGTCTGTCACCTACACTTGTCAGTAACTTGAAGAACCACTAGGCACTTTCTTCATAGCTGTTCTGATAAGATGCAAATATTGTAGGCTTTTTCTGCCCTGTCAGTATGGGTTTTACTAGATTTTCCTTAAGTGGAAAACAAAGCAAAACAAAATCCTCTAGATGCAGAAGACTGGGCTAGCATCTCTGCTATTTCTGTCATGCAACCTTAGAAAATTCTTACCTTTCTTGGTTTTATCTGTTCAGTCGCTACCTCTGAGTACCTGCATATGTTCAGGTGTGTTTTCTTATAGAACCTGTTACAACAGAGCCCCTTTGCTATTTGGACCTGTCATTGGGCTTTGGTGGGAGGGAAGTTGCAGCAGAGCTTTTTCAACACTTAAAGCAATGTAAGTATTTCAACCCACTGTGGAGCAGGGAGAAAACTGGGGCCAACAAAGGCAAAAAACAGTCTCAGCTTAAAGGACATACTGTGCTAAATCACTTATGAAAATGCTAATGGAAGAGAACAGAGCTTTGCACAGCGTATACAATAGATGGCTTGCTGAAGTGAAGCATGTTACACACTGCGACATGGGATTAGTGCTACACAGATTCTTCTGTATTCCTAGAAAAAAAATATAATTATTCCTATGGATCTGTCTCACTGTGGCTTGAACTATACTTTTGGTATGGATTTAATAAGCTCAGAAATTTTTAAAAGTCCCATCTTTTTGCATATGATATTATGGAAGAGCGCATATTAAAAAGAAAGTTATATGGGTATTGTTCACAGGTTTGGATTGACCTAGTTTGTATGATTAGATTCCTAATCACTTTACTTGCGTGCTGAAATGTTAGCCACAAGGAACTGCTATTTGTGAAATTCAAGAGGTATTGAGTATAATTGTTTCAAAGTCTGGACCTTCAATATTTAGCTGCATTGTACTCTCTAATCCAACAGGGCCTCTGGAAATTCATGGGAGAAAAATAGCAATTTCATGATAAAAACATACTTGGAAGGTCACCATTTGCCCATTATTTTCATATTGTGACATAGAAGAATATTATTCCTCCTTTTAGGATCAGCAAAAGTATTAAGCTATACAAATCAGATGTGTAATGTACATACAGATAATAACGTTTTTGTCAGAGAAGAGAACGTTTTTATCACCAGAGAAAAATTTTCTAAGGGGCTGAAACCACCTTTGTGTGGTTTGCTCGGTGAAGCCGTTGAATCCAAGTATTTCATCCATTTTCCTGTTCTCAGCAGATGAGAATATTAGAATATTTATTCTTTTAATGCCAAATACTTGCTTCCTGTAAGGCAATGCTGACCAGGAAAGAGAAGAATGACAGTCCTGGAGGCATGATTCTTATGAAAGTCTCCACCTTTGAGCTGCTTGAAAAAGTGTTAATGGTATTAATCCCGGTACAGATGTGACTTTGGGAAGAGTTACAGGACCATGAACGCCCATCATCCAAAGGCTCAGTGATCATTCCATGCCTCATAACTTTAGTTTATTTAGAGCTTCAGTTTATTTAACTTTTTCTTGGAGAAGAAATTCTCCAGAAAATGCAAGGCATAGTGTTTTCTAAGATCAAAATTCGGGAAAGTTGTTGCCACTCCTGTTGATTTTATTTAGAACTAGGACACAAGGACAGGATGGTCTCATGGAGAAAGAGGTATCAAGTTTCTTAACTTGGCTCTCTGCTGAGAGAGAGACGGGGGGGGGGGGGGGGGGGGGGGAAAAAGTCTGTTCATCAGCTAATTCATCTCCTATTCTAATTCTCAGTGAAATACTGCGGCCCTGCATATTTCTGAGCTATCCAGAGGACTAGCAGAGTAATAATGGATGCTCTGCTGGACTGATAAATGCTTTCTGCAGTAATTTTTTTTTTCTAATTCTTCTGCTATTTCTTCAGAAAGGTGCCTCTAAGATGAGTTCTTGTGAGATTAAACTCTCTTTAAAATGTAGACTTTTCCTTCCAAAGGGCATCAGAATTCTTTACTTAAATACTGGGAAGTCGCTATGTAACTATGACCCCATGACAAGTGTAGCCTCTCACTGAAGTCCTTGGCAATGTTCAGACTATTCCAAGTTTAAGTGTTCCATGCTCCTACTGTTTAGTGAAAGCAGGAAAAAACAAAATAAAACACCACACCCCCCAGCTACACACACACACAGTTCTTGCTATCACAGTTTCCAACGTCTGTGAAAAAATCCAACGCCCAAACATCACTTCACTCTCTAGTGTGCCCTGGTCTTGGAAAATCAACGTCTGATGCAGGCAGTCTCTTCCACTTTATGTTATATTCCTTAACACAATTCCTAGGCAAGATCTATGGTGATTCTGTGCTCCAGTGCAGATGCACATTTCCTGCATGATATGAATGGTATGATATGAAAGCAGCCTCAAAGATGACTTTCCTTTAAAAGCAAAGCAGCAGCTAATGCCGTGCAGCCTTTCTGCTGCTCTGAGCATGACTGCTTGTAAAATATTACGGGCATTCTAGCTGGGCCAAGCAGCACAACATTGAAAGCTCAGCCTTTCTTGCAATGATGGAACAACGGAAGCATTTAGATAACTGCTTCTGTATTTCAGGTTCACAAGGTGTAAACACATGTGGATACATCCTTTAACTTATCTCATGGTATGTCTACTCTGTTTAAAATCTTTACTTCTTGGGTCACTCCTGGTCACCCAGTTGTCCTTTTCTGTGTAAATGAGACCACCCTTCCAAACTACCTCCTAGAGAGTGCTAGTTTCCTCAGGAACAAAATCTGAATGTGATTCTAGGGCTTATTCGCTCCACTGACCTTTCTAAAACTTGGTGTCATCTTGACCATGTCACATATATCTTCCTGTGCCCTACATGGTCCATTGGTTTTGCCTCTCAGGACTTAACTTCTATCTGTTCAGGCCATGCTGTTTAGCACATAACCTCAATCTTATGTCATAAATACCTGTCACAGCCTTGCCCTCTCTTCAGACACTTTGAGCTGAGAAACACAAAAATAGAATGCTGCTCCAAGGGTCACAACACTGTGCATTAGGGGCAATCTCTGTGTTGTCTGGATTTGGCAAATCTATTCTAAATGAGGATATTTCAAAGTAATTTTGCACCATCTCCTTGTACCACCTTGTTTAGGAGTCCAGGATGACTGGTCGCAATAGATGCACTTGATACAGGGTCTGTAGCCAATGTGTCTACATGAGATGCACCGAATAAGCAGTACTGTTTTTTTCCTTTTTTCTTTCCTTTTATTTTTTTGTATTGCCCACTGTGTACCGCTGACAACTTTATGTCCCAGGTTTCTTCTTCCCACTCATAGCAGCACTGACACAAACATACTGTACTGATTAAGCAGCAGTGTCTGAATTAAGAAAAAAGTTAGTTTAATAACCCTGGCAACCAAAGCAGCACAAACCTAATGTACAGGGTTCTGCTTGATGTAACACAGCATTAATTGCCAAGCACGAGTAGCACATTGCCTTATTCCAGTTATATCTACTGTTACACTTCCCTGGCGAGGATGTGATATCTTATGTTTGTCATGTGCAGGTAGGTTTGCTGTTGCCAGTGACCATGGGCCTTGCAGTGTGTTTGGGTGTGTAGGAGATTTGAAGCTGCTCAGACATCTTGCTGCTGCTCTCGTTCCCTCCTCTGTGTTCTTGCTGCCTTGTATTCCAAAGCTTCAAACCAAGAAAGGGCTGGTGGGGGCTGTAATTGGAGCAACCATTCACCAGTCTTGGCCCAGCTGAATCACTGTGTTGTTTTGGAGAAGTGTAGATAAAGCTGATGAAAATAGCAGAGGAAGTATTTTCAGTCAAGGGTGTCCATCTGTGAAACAAGCTTCTAGAGATGGGAGTAGTAGGTATTTCCAATTTACTTTGCAAAAACATCCTTTGGATAAAGAAGCCCCACAGTTACAATGGTGACATGGAAAGTATTACTTTATGTGTAGCCTCTGTGGTCTATAGGCAGGGAAGCAAGAAGAACAAAAAGTGGTTCTTGCAGCCTCTTGTAAATCTTGATGCAAATAGATGTATTGGAAGTAGCCCTGAAGACAGCGCTAAAGACTTTTATTTGATTTTT